TTTTTTTTCCTCATTAATGTACACACAGCACCCCATATTGACAGAAAAACACCGAATTGTTGACATTTTTGCAGATTTATTAAAAAAGAAAAACTGAAATATCACATGGTCCTAAGTATTCAGACCCTTTGCTGTGACACTCATATATTTAACTCAGGTGCTGTCCATTTCTTCTGATCATCCTTGAGATGGTTCTACACCTTCATTTGAGTCCAGCTGTGTTTGATTATACTGATTGGACTTGATTAGGAAAGCCACACACCTGTCTATATAAGACCTTACAGCTCACAGTGCATGTCAGAGCAAATGAGAATCATGAGGTCAAAGGAACTGCCTGAAGAGCTCAGAGACAGAATTGTGGCAAGGCACAGATCTGGCCAAGGTTACAAAAAAATTTCTGCTGCACTTAAGGTTCCTAAGAGCACAGTGGCCTCCATAATCCTTAAATGGAAGACGTTTGGGACGACCAGGACTCTTCCTAGAGCTGGCCTCCTGGCCAAACTGAGCAATTGATGGAGAAGGTCTTTGGTTATAGTGGTGACCAAGAACCTGATGGTCACACTAGTTGATCTCCATGATTATATGTGGAGATAGGAGAAACCTAGAGAAGGACAAACATCGCTGCAACACTCCACCAATCCAGTCTTTATGTCGGAGTGGCCAGACTCAATCCTCTCTTCAGTTAAGACGCATGAAAACACACTTGGAATTTCCAAAAAAGCACCTAAAGGACCCTCAGACTCTGAGAAACAAGATTCTCTGGTCCGATGAACCTCAATTCCAAGCTTCATATTTGAAGGAAACCAGCTCCGCTCATCACCTGCAGAGTACCATCCCAAAAGTAAAGTGTGCTGGTAGCAGCCTCATGCTGTGGGGCTATTTTTCAGCAGCAGGGACTGAGGGACTCGTTAGAGTAGAAGAAACGCTCAGTGCAGCAAAATACAGAGATAGCCTTAATGAAAACCCAGTCTAGAGCATTCAGAACCTCAGACTGGGTGGAAGGTTCACCTTCCAACAGGACAATGACCCTAAGCACAGAGCTAAAATAACGAAGGAGTGGCTTCATAACAACTCTGTGACTGTTCTTGAATGGCCAGAGCCCTGACTTAAACCCAATTGAGTATCTCTGGAGAGACCTAAAAATGGCTGTCCACCAATGTTTACCATCCAACCTGACAGAACTGGAGAGGATCTGCAAGGAGGAATGGCAGAGGATCCCCAAATCCAGGTGTGAAAAACTTGTTGCATCTTTCCCAAAAAGACTCATGGCTGTATTAGATCAAAAGGGTGCTTCTACTAAATACTGAGCAAAGGGTCTGAATACTTAGGACCATGTGATATTTCAGTTTTTCTTTTTTAATAAATCTGCAAAAATGTCAACGATTCTGTGTTTTTCTGTCAATATGGGGTGCTGTGTGTACATTAATGAGGAAAAAAAATTAACTTAAATGATTTTAGCAAATGGCTGCAATATAACAAAGAGTGAAAAATTTAAGGGGGTCTGAATACTTTCCGTACCCACTGTATGTGCTGCTGGGTACTATATATATATGTATGTATATTTACATTTACATTGCAGTGTAAGAATTAGAGCCCAACCGATATGTTTTTTTGAGGGCCGATACGGATATTAAGAAGTAAAAACGGCCGATATCGATATATTGGCCGATATTCTTTGTGTATTTTATAGTACAGTACCAGTCAAAAGTTTGGACACTTTCCCATTAATGTGTCCAAACTTTTGACTGGTACTATATATAGAATGCAGTATATACATAAACAGGTTTTGCAATGATCACTCAAATGTGGTGATGAAACACTTATAATGACGTGACAAAGATATGTAATGGAGGCAGGGTATTTAACAATTTAACAATAAACTTTATTATCCAAAATGAGTCTGACATCAGTGCACTGAACAATAAAGTTGAAGTTTATTCAACTTTATTTCAATTAAATTCCATTCAAATTTATTCTGTTAAAGTTTTTCACTTCGGAACATTCATTCATAGATTTGTGCTACGCCACTGGCTAACACACAGATGAAACTTACTAGAGAAGTGTGACATACCTCTGTAAATAAATACTATTTAAATTCACGTCTCGCGCACTTTAATGCCCTTTGAATGTAACATGTATGTTCCCTTCGAACTGGAATCATGGAAGAATATCCTGTGAAGTCCACTTCGCAGGACTCTTACGGTCGAATAGAACAAACCTCTGAAGTGATAAGAGAAATATACAAAATGTGCAGAGCAGGGGGTTGCGAGGAACAGGATTAAGAACCACTGCTTAATACCATTGTGTCTCACCAACTTGGTGCTAAATCGCCATTCAACAGACTTAAGCCACAAATTAGTTAGCAACTTACAGTTAAGACACTGCTTGAATGCTGCTGCCTGAACAAGAGACTTCCTTACTGAAGTGAAAGGGTTGGCTGTCACTCTCGCGAGGACGGCAGTGGATCTCCACCAAATTCGGGGGATCCTTTCAGCTCGAGGCTCCTCGAGTTGAATAGATCCCCCGAATTTGGTGCGGATCCACCGCGCCGTTACGGAGATATGGTCGTTCAAATTTTCAATGGTATTCCATACACTTAAGCTTTAAAGCATTTCATCCAGATCGCCAGTAGCAAACAATGGAGCGCATTCTTCTGGACAAACTACGTAATTACACCATTTACAAGCATTTTATCTGCGTTTTATGTTCTGTAAAAAATAAAATGTTCATATCGGTGGCATGTCGCCGGCATGTACACCGATAACGATATATCTGCGACAGGCTCATATCGGCTGATAAAATCGGCAAAACGATATATCGGTCAGGCTCTAGTAAGAATTGTGTTTTTGTTTAAAATGACACAATTTTACAAATATAGCAATTCATAATAAACTGCAATATTTACCGCCTATATAGTTTTATTAAAGCATTTCGCATTAACATACAAAAATGACTGTAGCCCTGACTTATAATTAAAGGCTTTTTACTTTGCTTGCGATGTGAGTGCCTGGATGTGGATTTTTCAGGTTTTTTTTGCAATGGGATCCACTTTTTGTTTTTTTTTTATACGAAAATGACCATTTCAAAGAACATTTTTGAGCGAGGATGTAAACAAATCATTGAATAAAACTTTTGAATTGATTCTTTGAAACCAATTCACAGAAATGAATCAAACTTGCCGGGTCCAACAGCATATATTCTATTGACTTAAGCAGATATGCTGTTAAAAAGTAAAATCTTAGCACTTTATTGCCAAACAAGGAAATGGAAGAATCACAAAACTAATCTGATTCCATGGTCTTCAGGAAATTCAATGGCCATATAAAAAGCCCAATAAAATCTTTGCAATATTCACAGCATTGTTTTATATTGCCAGCAGAATCATTTAGAATGTATTGTGAATATTTAATATATCACCCAGCCCTACTTTACTGGATTTTGATGAGCTAAAGACACAGGAAGGCAATAATTTCACACCATAATAGCACATTATTGATGAAGATCACATTCTGAAGCCTGGAAATTTGACTGAGATTCAGATCTGTGCTTCCACAAGAGCAGCTCCTTGTACTGGAACCCATTTCATGTTTCGAATCAACTAATTTCCCTGTAGTGCACTTGTGATGATTCCATGAAATCTCAGTGGATAAAATGAACTCCTGCCCCACATTGTTTCCAACTGAGTATTGTTTCACTTGGAAAGAAAATACATTAAAGACAATGTGTGAATGTTGTTTTATGTTGACTTCAATGACCCTAACCAATCAACATTTGTAAAAAAGTTTTAATACATTTTTCTTTTTTTTTTTAAATTCAACCGCAAAATGTGTTATAACCATGTAGTAAGAGGCATTTTTTTTTTATGTTTGAATTAAATGCTTTACAAAGATACTTTATTTCAAATGTAAGTGTTAATGTACAGCCAGCTGGTCATTATGAGATTATGAGAAACGCTGACAGGATGATCAAAACACTGATTTGAAACAATGTCTTGTATCATCATAAAGAGCATGATTTTATGCTAGTGGCCAGCTGACGTTTTAGCACAAACTCCACCGGTTAGTCTAGGTCACATTCCTGACCTCACATTTTCTCACATGTATTTGTGTTTATCTCTCTCTCAGAGTGTCGGAACGCCTTCGCCCTGGTGGTACGTCCTCCTACAGAACAGGAGAACCTGTTATTCAGTTTCCAGCTGACGGCCGAAGACACCCTCAAATCCACCTGGCTCAAAACACTCTGTCGTCAAGTGGCCAACACGATTTGCCGAGCTGATGCGGTGAGCGGACACCCACACATGAAACATGGCCACTTCCTCCTCAGATCATCCCCCTCATGTCTGGAACAGAACTCAATTATTTATTTTATTAGCTCTGCTTTCTTTTTATTGTGGCTATAAATTAGGAGGTTTGTGTGGGCCTTTTGGTGTTGGCTAATCCTATTAGATGCTCATGTGTGGTTAAACTGGAAGGCAAATTAATTTAATTAAGAGTGGAATTGTACTTGAACTTTACACTTCAGATGCAGACGTCTTTATCTTCATGCTGCAGAACCGCAGGTCCTGCCCAGGGCTTCCAAAACGGGGCACGTAATTGATGCGGGCAGACAGATGCATGTATTTCCCTATATAATTAAACATCCAGACCAAACCCTGCGCTGCGCCTAAATGCGTTTTGGCCTGGCCTGCAGTTCTCCCAATGGCCATGAGGTGGCGACCTATCCACACGTCATCGGCGTGAAATACGGCCACTTTCGATCTCTGCTCCTGTGAATATCAAGAAGCCCCAGCTGTTTGGAAGGCTGAACAGTGACGCTTCTCTTTGCATTTTGACAGGCCAGCAGTATCGCTGTGTATTTATTTAATTTTACGCGTCTTAAACAGGAAGATCTCATTCAGAGCACCGATCCTGACTCCGTCCAAGTGAGCACAAAGGACATGGACAGCACACTCAGCCGAGCATCCAGGGCCATCAAAAAAACGTCAAAGAAGGTAGGGAGAGGAACTTGAAACAATTGAAAATGACATGATGTGCATGCATGCTGTCAATGTTCAGGAGGCTTTCTTGAGAATTGCATCATAAAGTAACTGTTTTTAACCCAGTGGTTAAAACAAAGAAACTTTGTAGAAAACAGGCTAATTGTGCATGTTTGTGTTTTAGGTCACGAGAGCTTTTTCTTTCACTAAAACCCCCAAGCGTGTGCTTCAGAGGGCGTTTATGGCCAATGGTACCCCAGATGAGAGGAGTCCTGGCCCAGATGCCGATCACATGGGCCGAATGTTCAGCAGCTCCACACTGGCTGTGAGTCCACACACACATTTTCTTCTCTTTTCCACACAGTCTGTCGATTTATTCTCACAAATCTACTGATCTAACCTACGAATGAAAGACACACACCTGTCGACGATGCATGAATAATGCACTCACCTTTAAGTAAGCCTAATCACAATGTTTAGAAAACACGCACAACAACAAATGATGCATTTATGTGCTCCTTCAAGGGCAAAAATAAATATATAAGAATAAAGTAAAAAAAGCTGAAGCTTGGCATCTATTCAAGCAACATGAGAGTGAAAAAAATGTTTGTTTTTTTTCCCTCTTTTTTTGAGCTTTTTTATCTGTATGTTTCTGCATACAGTGGGCATTGTCAATTAATTTTTCATAGAAATATCACATGAACAAGCGTGCTGTTCTGAATATCAGCAGCTACGATTGGACTTTTTAAAAAATATTTACTGTTTTTCAATAAAGTATTACTATTTTGATCTAAAATTAAATATAGCCCTTTTATTTTAATATTTAATGTATATATTATTATTAAATATGTACATTTAAAAGACAGTAACAGTAATAATAATAAGTTGGTTAAATTGGAAAATATAAACTGCTGCAAAATAACAGTTGGTATTGAAATGCGACTAGTATCATTGGTGTTGACTGCTGAAATAAAATGGT